CCCCTGCAGCAGTGCACGGCCATGCGCGGCAGCACTGGGGCAGATTGCGACACTACGTCAGGTGCTGGCGGCCATGCAGGCCGAGGAAGGTGGCCTGCGCTCCAGCCTCGGCCTCTTCAAGATCGAGCAGCCGCCCTCCAAGGACCTGCAGAAGTTGGAGAAGGTGGGAGCTGAACCCAGAGGTTGGGTCCCTGCCACGCCCCCACATAACCCAGGCCTCCAGGTCCCTGCCCCCATCCCCCAATATGGGCCCAGAATCCAGGCATCCATGTCTGCCCCTAAATGGGTCCAGACCCCAGGCATCTGGGTCCCTGCCACCCCCCTGCTCCCATATGGGTTCAGAACTCAAGCATCTGGGTCCCTTCCCCCCATCCAGGCTCATAACCCAGGCCTCCAGATCCCTGCCCCCTGCATAGGGCCAAAACCCAGGTGTCCGGGTCTCTGCCTCCCACGCCATGGGCCCAGAACTCAGGCATCCAGGTCTTTGCCCCCACCCCTGCCTCCATATGGGCCCAGAACCCAGGTATCTGGATTCCCTCTCCACCCCCATATGGACCCAGAACCCAGGTGTCCAGGTCCTTGCCCCCACCCCTCCCTATATGGGCCTAGATCCCAGGTATCTGGATCCCTTCCCCGCCCCATATGGGCCCAGAACCTAGGTGTCCAGGTCTCTGCCCCCCTCCTTGGTGGGCCCCGAACCTAGGTATCCGGGGCCCGGCCCATGTGCCCGCAGGAGCTGGACTACCTGCAGCAGGTGTGGGAACTGGCGCAGGCGTGGGAGCTGTGCTGGGGCAAGTGGAAGACGGGCAGCTTCCGGACGCTGCAGACGGAGACCATGGAGAGCGTTGCCCGTGGCCTCCTCCGCCAGCTGCACAAGCTCAGTCGCGACCTTAAGGTGGGGGCAGAGAGCCCAGACGTCCAGGCACCCACTCAGGGAGAGAACCCACTTTCCTTCTGGCACTAGGGGGAGAACCCCGGTGTCTGGGCTCCCAGCCCCTCCTGCCCAACCCCCTCTGACCCAACTTCCCTCCCAGAGCTGGGAAGGGAACCCAGGCATCCAGGCTCATCCCCACCCCCCGCACAGGACCGCAACTGGGAGGTCATCGAGACGTCCAAGGCCAAGATCGAGCAGTTCCAGAGGACGATGCCACTCATCTCAGACCTGCGGAACCCAGCCATGAGGGACCGGTAGGGCTGGGGGGCGCTGGGCAGGCACTGGGATCCAGCCTTGGCTCCTTAGCTCCCTCAGATGCATGCAGGTTCCTGATTCCCCTGGGGCCTGGATGGAGAGAACCCAGGCATCCGAGTTCCCAGTCCCCCCTGCTCAGACCCAGATCACCCTGCCCTCTAGAGCTGGGGAGAGAACCCAGGTGTCCAGGCCCCCAGTCCCCCACCTTGTCCAGAGTTCGGGAGAGAACCCAGGCATCTGAGCTCCTAGCCCCCAGCCTTGCTCTCCAGAGCTGGGGGGAGAACCCAGGTATCCGAGCCCCCAGGTTTCACTGCTGTAACCCAGCAGATCCCACATCTCTCTGAGCTGGGAATAGAACCCAGGGCTTCCAGCCCCCCATCCCCCTCCAGCTCTCCCCAGTGAGCTCAGCTTTGAAGCCTTGTGGGGGGGCACTTCTGCCCTTGTTAATCAGGCATTAATTACTCAGCTCCTGCTAAGGTGATTCACAGCACAGCACCTTGCCTGCGGCTGCTGCGTGGTATGTGTGGGGAGGGGGCAGGGACACTGTTTCCTAATGTCCTGCTGTGCTCCCACCCCACCCATGGGAAGAGAACCCAGGAGTCTGGGTCCTATATATCCCACCCCCACCCCATGTGGACATAGAACCCAGGCATCCGGGTCCCACACAGGTGGGAAGAGAATCCAGGTGTCCGGGCTAACGCCTTCCCTGCCCCTGCAGGCACTGGGCGCAAGTGAAAGACATGGTGCTGTGTCCCTTCGACCAGGAGGCTGATGACTTCCGACTGGAGGATGTGGTGGCGCTGGGGCTGGACCGGCATGGTGAGCAGGTGGCCGAGATCTCGGCTGCCGCCACCAAGGAGCTGGCCATCGAGCAGGTACTGCCCCACCTCAGCTAGAGCCGAGGAGAACCCAGGCACCCAGCCCCCAGACCTGGGAATAGTACCCAGGTATCTGGGCTCAGAACTGGGAATAGGACCCAGGCATCTGGCTCCCAGTTGTGGATCTGGGAATAGGACCCAGGTGTCCAGGCTTCCAGTTCCTCACTTTATGCGGGAGTAGAATCCAGGTGTCCGAGCTCCCAAGCCCTCTCTCCGTGTTGGAGTAGAACCCAGGCATGTGGGCTCTGAGTTTCCATCTCCCAGAATCTGCTATGCCCATCCCAGACCTGAGAGAAGGACCCAGGCATCCGGGCTCCTGACCTCCCCTGTCTCACCCCTCAACCCGCCACCCCCAGCCGGGAAGAGAACCCAGGCATCCAGGCACGCTGAAACACCAGGTGCCCATTCCCCCAGGCCCTGCAAGGCATTGTGCAGACCTGGGACGTGATGCAGCTGGACATCGTGCCCTACAAGGACAAGGGGCACCACCGCCTCCGGTAGGGCCTGGCATGGGGAACCGAGGTGTCCGGGCGCTGCCTACCCCCAGAGAACCCAGGCGTCCTGGCTCTGCCCGCCCCTGCTACCCCTGGCCTGCTAGAGAACCCAGGTGTCCTGGTTCCATCCATCCCCCAGAGAGCTCAGGTGTCCTGGCTCTGCCCACCCTCCTGCCCCTCAGAGAACCCAAGTGACCTGGCTTCTCCTCCCCCTTGCTGACCCCCTGCCGCAGAATTCAGGCATCCTGGCCTCTGCTTTGCCCCCACCGCCCTGTGACCTTGGAGCGCAGGGGGTCCCTCAAGGGAAACAGGATGCAGGTGGGCAGGGCACAGCAGGGGGGAGCCCAATGAGCCTCGCTGGGAGTGGGGGCCACCGGGCTGGCCCATACTGGGGATGTAGGGTGGCAATGGGGTGAGGAGCGAGGGTCCTGCTTGGGGGGGTGCCAGGCTGGGCGGGGGGCCCCCAGGGGTGCCTGGTCACTGAGGCGGGTACTGGGCAGGGGCACAGACGAGGTGTTCCAGGCGCTGGAGGACAACCAGGTGGTGCTGGCCACCATGAAGGCCTCGCGCTTCGTGCGCCCCTTCGAGCGCGATGTGGATGGCTGGGAGCGGTGCCTCTCGCTGGTGCTCGAGGGCATTGAGATGGTGCTCACTGTGCAGCGGCAGTGGATGTACCTGGAGGTAGGGGGACCCCAGACCCACATCCTGTGGTGGGGCAGACCCCATCCTCTGGGTGGGGTAGGGAGATCCCAGACCCCATCTCCCAGGGGGGCTGGGAGACCCCAGACCCATCTCATGGGAAGGCTGGGAGACCCCAGACCCACGTCTGGGGGGAGAAGGGGGAGTCCGGACCCCATTTCCTGAAAGGAAAAAGGGACCCCGACCCATCTTCTGTGGGGACAGAGGAGCCTGGACCCCATCTCTTGGGGGAGCCCAGACCCCAACACCTGGGAGGCAGGGAGACCCCAGACCCCATGTCCCAGAGGGGAAGGGGGAGCCTGGACCCCATTTCCTGGGGGGTTGCAGTGGGTGGGGGTGGGGAAGGGAGCATCCCACCCCCACAGCCATTGCCCTTGGGGCCTGACATCCATGACCCCCTAACCGCCCCCCAGAACATCTTCCTGGGTGAGGACATCCGCAAGCAGCTGCCCGAAGAGTCAGCCTCCTTTGACCAGATCAATGCCAGCTGGAAGGGCATCATGGACCGCCTAAGCCGGGATGCCAATGCCCTGCGGGGCACCCATTACCCAGGTGCCCAGGGGGGTGGGCAGCGACTCCAGGGCAGGGGGGATGCCCATGGTTGCTTTCTAGGGTGCCACGCCTGGCAAGACTAGATGCTCGCAGTGGCCAAGGGGTGCCACAAAGGGGTGCTACACTTTCACTCGCCCCATGGCAGGCTTGCTGGACACACTAGCAGCAATGGCGGGGGCACTGGAGGACATCCAGAAGTCGCTGGACATGTTCCTGGAGACCAAGCGCCGCATCTTCCCCCGTTTCTACTTCCTGTCCAACGATGACCTGCTGGAGGTGCTGGGCCAGGCCCGCAGTCCCGACGCCGTCCAGCCCCACCTCAAGAAGTGCTTTGACAGCCTGCGTGCCCTCCGTGTCCAGAAGGTGCTGCCCCTGTCCCATCCTGGCCTGGCTGGGCACTGCCTATGGGCATCTTCCCCACAGCCCCTGCATCCTGCCCTACCCTGGCTAGCCTACCCAGCATCCTGCCCAGGCTTCTTATACCCACGGGGCATCTAGGGCTGGGGTCCTCATTCTGGCCATGCCCCTTTCAGTCCTGGTCCCGCCCCTTTCAGAACTGGCACCGCTTCTTCCAGATTCGCATCCCCCAGCTCAGGGAATAGGCCCTGCCCCTTCTAGGTCTGTCCCACCCCCCCCTTAGAGGTCCTGCTCTATCCAGCCCCACTGACCATGGGGGCCCGGTCTCCTGCCCCCCCAACACTCCCAGACCTTCACTTCCTATCTCATACTGTCCCTTGCTGATGTCATGGGTTCCCGCCAGGCTGCACTGTGCCCCCTGCCCCCACAAGGAGCTGCATTTTGTACCACCCCCACCCCACTGGTGGCTGCATCTGGGTGATGGGTCCTTGGGGAACCAGGCTGCAAAGCATTCTAGAAATCAAGAGCTAGCCTGGGGTGGGGTGGGGGGTGTTGAGATCTAGGCCAGGAGCTAGCGCTGCTCTCTGCTCCCCACCAGGTGGGCATGGGTAACAGGTCAGAGGCCATGGGCATGTGTTCGCTGGACGGGGAGTATGTGGAGTTCAGCCACCCTGTGCTGTTGGAGGGACCTGTGGAGGTGAGTGTGGGAGCCCTGCTTCACCCCAGAGCTGGCTGCATCTCCAGGGGTACAGTCCTCCTGTTCCACCCCAGAGCTGGCCACATCACTGCACCAGAGGAAGCCTCCCTTGGTGACCAGGCCACACTGTGTCCTCCCCTGCCATGCTGCTTCCACCCCTCATTCCATGTCTTGGCCTGCAATACAGCCACCTCTGGGGTGGGGCATTCAGCCATGATCTCTGGCTCACAGGCAGCTGCCTCTGAGGTAGGGTACGTCCCCCTGCCCAGCCCCCCTCAGATCTGCCCCTCTGATCCATGTACCCCCCCACCCCAGGAGTGGCTGTGTGATGTGGAGCACACCATGCGCTGGACACTGAGGGACTTGCTACGCAACTGTCGCCTGGCGCTTAAGAAGATGCTCACTAAGCGCGATAAGTGGGTGAAGGAGTGGGCCGGGCAGGTAGGTGCTGAGGTGGGCAAGTAGGTGCCAGGGGGGCAGGTAAACGCCAGGCTGGGACAGAGCCCGGCAAGGTCCCCTGTAGCGGTAGTTCAGCTGCATTGGCAGAGGTCACATGTGGAATGAGTTTGGGCGGGGGGTCTCAGCCTAGCCCCACCTGCTGAGCAACAGGGGAGGGGGAGCTGCAGGAGATCAAGGAGGGGTCAGAGGACAAGGAAAGGGGGTGAATAGGGGGTCAGAGGATGGAGGAGGCTTATTGGGGTCAGGGGTTAAGGTTCGGAGTGAGGCGGGGGTCATTGGGGGTCGGTTTAATGGAAGGAGCGGTTGGGGTCAAGGGTCAGAGGGGGTTATCGGGAGTTGGGAAGGGGGAAGGTTGCGGTTCAAGGGTCAGGGAATGTGTGTGATTAGGGGTTGGGGTCGAGGGGAGGGGAGGAGTCATTGGGGGCTTGGGAAAGTGGGGAGGTTGTTGGGGGTCTGGGGTCAAGGATCAGGGGTGAATGTTCTTAGGGGTTGGAGTCGAGGGGAGGGGAGGGAAGGGGCCATTGGGGGTTGGGAAGGGGGATGTTGGGGATTAGGGTGAGTGTCATTAGGGGTTGGGGTCAAAGGGAAGGGAGGGGTCATTGGGGGGTTGGGAAGGGGAAGGTTGTTGGGAGTCTGGGGTCAAGGGTCAAGGGGTGAGTATCATTAGGGGTCGGGGTCAAGGGGAAGGGAGGGATCATGGGGTCAGGAATAGGGGAAGGTTGTTGGGGGTCTGGGGTCAAGGGTGAAGGAGTGAGTGTCATTAGGGATTGGGGTCAAGGGAAGGGGGGGTCATTATGTTGGGAAAGGGAGGAGGTAGGGTGTCGGGTCAAGGATCAGGGGTGAGTGTCATAGCGAGTTGGGGTCAGGTGTCAAGGGAAAGGGAGGGGTCAATGGAGGTCAGGAAACGCAAAGGTTGGGATCACAGATCAGTGTTGAGGGTGTTTAGGAGTTTGAGGGTCAACAATCAGGGAGGTCATGGGAAGGAGGCCAGGCCACTGAGGGTTAGGGGTCAAGGGTCTGGTTGGGGAGGTCACTGGAAGCCGGGGCCAGGCCATGGGGAGTTGGTTCCCAGCTCTCTCAGTTCAGAATCCCCTTCTCCCCCTTTGGGCACCCTGGGGTCTATGCCCCCAACCTCGGGCTGGCGTGGGTCTGTGCTCTCCACCCACCCTACGGGCCCTTCAGTTGGTGATCGCGGCCAGCCAGATGCAGTGGACGGCCGACGTCACCAAATGCCTGCTCACCTGCAAGGAGCGCGGGGACAGGAAGTTCCTCAAGGTCATGAAAAAGAAACAGGTGAGACCCCCACCCTCCCCTCCCCTCCCGCAGGGCCCTCCAGGCAGCGTGGACCCAGGCGTCTGGGCTCTCAGGCCCCAGCTCCTGCAACCTTCATTCCCAGAGCCTGTGGGAACCCAGGAGTCTGGGCTCCCAACTCCCTCCTGCTCTTACCCCTTAGCCCCCAGCCAGTGAGAACCCAGGTGCCCGGGCTTGAGCTGGGATAGAGCCCAGCTCCCAGCCCCTCTCCCTGCCCCCTCCCCATTGAGAACCCAGGATTCTGGGCTCTCAGCTTCCCTTCCCTCCCCTCCCCTCACCATTGAGAACCCAAGTGTCTGGGCTTGCTCTGGGACAGAGCCCAGGCTCCCCGCCCACCTCCCATTGAGAACTCAGGCATTCAGGCCCCCTGCAGGTGTCCCTGCTGCACCGCTACTCAGAGGCACTGCGTGGGAGCCTGCCCAAGCTGCTGCGCCTCAAGGTGGTGGCACTGGTGACAGTGGAGGTGCATGCGCGAGACGTCATTGACCGGCTCCACCGCTGCCCTGTGCCTGAGCCCAGCGCCTTCGACTGGCTCAGCCAGCTGCGCCTCTACTGGGACAAGGTTCGGATGGGGGCGCCATGCTGGGAACCCAGGCATCCAGGGCCCTGGCATGAGCCAGGAGCCCCACTTTGCCCTCCTGGTGGAACCCAGGTGTCTGGGTTC